GATATCTCCGTTTGCATTGAACTTTCAGCTTAGTAACTTTGCAGATATTGTTTATGCTCAAACAGCAACATTACACACTAACTAACGTTAAAAAAGTGAAATCGCAATCAACCACCCCTTTAATTGAGATCAAATTAAGGTCAATATTTCCTGATTTCTCATACACTTTCTGAATGATTTTTGTGAGTTCAAGCTCAGTAAGTTTGTTGAATACGTCAACCAATCACTCGCCAGCATGATAATGCAACACCCCATGTGTTATTAGCTCAGATGCACTACATCCGGTTCTGTTCAATGCAAAGCTGTCGTCGCACATGACCGACACAACAGACTGAGTTATATCAAAACTCACACATCACCACGGACTAATCACACTATGAATGTTACATCCTCCAAACACACACACACACTCACAGGAGAGTTCGTCTGCTTTGATGGGTGTTTTTCCGCTAACGCTGCCACTGCGACTATACAGGCCTTTTCCACTCCGCATAAAGGACCGCCCTTCTCCCGGACTGTAACACGGCAACACTACCTGGCTGCCACGGGAACGTCCGGGAACCACCTCTAGCACACCCATACAGCCCAGTAATGTGACCTGAAGGGTGCCTGCACACAGACACACACACAAATCTAATTTTAGAAGTCAGTATCTGAAGACTTCTACTAAATTAAATAAAATAAACATCAATTCATAGGTGTAAATGATGTTTTTGAATACCAGTGAGGGGAGAGGGTTTGGAGAGGGTGCTGTACTGGTTGTGCAGGTAGGGGGCGCCGTGTCGAGAACTGAACGCCGGTGAGGAGGCTAACACCAGCTCCTCGTTGATAACAGATGCTTTGGGATGATCCTCAGGAAGTTCTGCTAACCGCCGATCTAATGAATCTCTCAGCAGATCCAACCTCTGAGACGACTCGCTCAGACGACACTGAGCCTGTAGAAGCCGAGAGAAGAAGACATGAGGAATGACCTATTAAAAGAGTGCAGGGACATCAAAACTACCAGTACTTCGGTACATAGTTGATACTACAATAATAATTAAAGCAGTGTGTTTACTTAATCAAGTTGAAATTGAAAGCTACTGTTTACATATAATATAATGATATAATGTGGTCTGTAAGATTTTTGTATGTTTTTAAAGAATTTATTTTAATTATATAGAATTAAAAAAAATGTTTAGAATAGAATTTATTTGATATATACAAAAAAAGAGAAAAACAGCAATACTGTGAAAGATTTCATATATCTTAAAATTTAATCCTGTGATGGCAAAGCAGAATTTTCCAGTCTTTTCCAGAATTTATTCCAGTCTTCAGTGTCACATGATCCTTCAGATATCATTTTAATATGCTGATTTGCTCAAGAAATATTGCTTATAATTATCAATAGTAAAATCAGTTGTGCTGTTTAATATTTTTGTGGAAACAGTGATACATTTTTTCAGGATTCTTTGATAAATAGAACATACATTATTTTAAACAGTTTTTTTTTGTAACAATGTAAGTTTTGACCGTTTAACCGTTAACCAAAAGTAAGAATTTTGATCGATTAATACTATCAGTTAAATGGTTTATAAAAGGTATTTTTGAAAGTTTTTTTTTCCATGTTTGCTGCAAGGTTAAAGAAATATATGTTATATATATTTGTTAACTCACGGGCGCGTATCGACACGTGCAACCACACGCCTAAACATATTTCGCTGAGCAAGCACCTGCTCCACTTTCACTTAGCTAAATGTAGTAGTAAACACAACACAATGGCAAGTGGCAATACTGGATAAATGGTTAGCAGAGCATGAATCTGTGAGTGAATGTATTCAAAATCTAATGGATTATAGCCTAGAAAGTGCACAAAGAGCGCTCCTCTTATAATCACTGGAAAGCTGTCACTGAGTTCATCGCGATCTTACAAAGTTAACTTAAAGTAATCAAAGAAGCTACACACCGCACAGTTAATCTCTTATTTACATCATACTTGTCCATTCTATTTTTATTTAGTACTAATTTATTATTCTAATCTTATCAGTTAACAGTTATTGTTCGGATAACAAGCAGCAGTTGTCGGTCTGGAAAATCCCTAATATATAATATAATATAATACCTCTGACATGGCCTTCTTGTCCTGTACTTTACTGGCTCCAAGAAGTCTAAGGACATTTTTTGCTCCCTCTGCGACGGCGTGCTCAACGCGGTAATGGTGTCTGAGCTCCTCAATCCGTAGCTCCATACCACATGGGTCAGGCTTTCCTGAAGAGACATACACAACCAGATATATTAGGCTATCAGTATCACTCCCACAGTGAATTATACAAGCTATTAGCCTGAATGGGTCAGAGCCATGTCAGCCCTTGTAATTAAACAGCAAGAAAGAAGAATATCATTTCAAAATGAATCCACACAATACAGAATTCAAACTGCAAACTGCACCACCTCTTTTGAATTAGAGAACATTTATATATATAAAGTGCAAAATCTGAAAGTATACTAAAAATGCGGTTTAAAATGGTTTTAGATGAAGACGAGCATGTCACACTGCAGGATGCTGCTGTCATTGCTTGAAATGTCAACTACCCATTAACCATAATGAAACTGAACTGAATGTGAACCCATACAGACATCAAGTCTACACTTTAAAAAATGCTGGGTTAAATATAACCCAGCGCTGGGTTAAAAAGGGACAAACCCAGCTATTGGTTTTAAAGTTTAAGATACAATAAAAGGTACATGAGGTTGTGTGCATCTATCAGACTTTAAAGAGGATGAGGGATGATTTTAGATCAGCACAGTGAGTTTCCATATAGTAATTACTACACTTATGCAAACTAGGAGAGAGCCAAGGTAGATCAGCCGAGGACTAACATGATGCCAGCTACAGACTTTTAGAAATAAGAGGATTATTAAGGATTATAAACTGAAAGATTAAGATGCTGTGGTGTTATATTATTCTGCCATACCATCAAAAACATTGCCATGCTGTTCCGGGTTTCACATAAACATTTATTTTCATCTGTTTGGTTCTGTCTGAAATACAAGCAGTTCAAAGCATTCCAGTCAATAAACGAAAAGATCCTGAGTGCAGGGAATATTGTGAGTGTTTAAAAACCTTCTCTCAATGTCTAACATTGAGACTACAGGCTGTTTACTATTTCCAGATTTCCATATATTTTTAATATAGTTGAGACTAGAAAAGCGTGTGCTTGTGTGGGAGCTAGTGCCTGTGTTAGGACTGTCCCAGTAAAATCATTTATTGATACATCACGATACTTTCCCCATGAGCTGCTTCAAATGACTTCAGGGTAAAAAAAAAAAAAACATGACAAAATGAGAAGTATTGAAGGATTGACTGCAGAGGTTTTCGTGTCCTAATAAGGCATGAAGCCAAATGCAGTGCCATAATTTCGGAAACAGACTCTCGGGGAGTGCGTGTGTGTACATGTACACATTGAAGGTGTGTGTGTGTGTGTGTTTATACAGGAGTATTAAAGAATGTGTGTTAACTAATGCTGCTATGAGCCTGTATTATTTTTGTTTCATATGATATGATACAGTCTCTCTGGTCTGACTGAATTATGCTATAATCAGCTATAATTACTGCAAAATCATGTAAAGCTTAGGTGTATGTAAGCTGTTTATAATTTGTAATTATATTTTGCACTGCAAAATATATATATATATATAAAGGATGATGCATTTATTTGATCAAAAACACAGTAATATTGTGAAATATGATTACATTTTAAAATAACGCTTTTATTCCTGAGCTGAATTTTAATATGGTATTTAGTATATACTGTTACTGAAATGTACTTGAACATATAAGTTTAGGATTGAAAGCTATTTATTTAATGGTTACTGGGATACATTTACTTTACATGAAAATTAACTAATTAAAAGTAAGTTAATGCTTTTATTAATATCTATTTAAATGTCTTTGTGCTTTTATATTACAACTTCTTGCTGTAAACTGTTAATCAAGAGGTGTGTGTGTGTATGAAGCGTAAAGGAAAGAGTGGGAACTGACCGTCATCAGTTACCTGACCCTGTGTTTGTGTCTATGTGTGTTTGATTCACTCCAAGCCACACGGGGTCATAACACACACCTTTATTGATCTGTATGACCTGCGCTTACTGCTTATGTGTGTGAGTGCATGCTGTTTTCCAGATTGAATAAACACCGTCCAACTCAACCAAAAACACCCTGAAAACACACACCACTCGTCTTCTGGGATTCAGGTGGTTATTGATCTGTTTAGTTTTCTGCTCATCTAAGAAATCAGACTCTAAAAGCAACAATGCAGTAGCACACACACACACACACACACACACACTCAGTCATACCCTGTGTATCATCATTGTGTTCGTAGGCCTGCACTGCTTTCCGGATCTGCATGCGGATGATGTCAATCTTTGTCTTGCTGTCCTGTAGCATCTGCTGAGCTGTCTGCAACATCTTCTTATCCTAAAAGTCCACACAAACACACACCATTGTAGTTAGTAAACAGTGCATAAACATCTTTTGACAGACTGGCTCGGTTCCAAAATAGGCCTTGCTGCCTACATAAGCTGCACTGAAGTTTGAGTTTGAGGATGAATTTTGCTAACCTAATAGTACAATACCCTAAAACTCAAAAACATACAGCACGCACAAATATTAGATAAAGTAATCCATTTGTAATTAGATTGAACTACTTTTTTCACTTTGAGTATTGAATGACATTAAAAAAAAAAAATAATGACGTGTCTTGCCTCATCCAGCATCTTCCCAGAACACCAAAGTGCATTCTGGGATTGCCTTCACCATGAATATGTGATGCTGCCTTTGATTTTGGAAGCAGCATAATTAATTTGACCGCATTTACACTGTGAGCCTCTGTAGGTACACTACTTTTCAAAAGTATATGGGGTCAGCTAGGTTTTTTTTTTTTTTTTTTTTTTAATAAATTAATACTTTCATTCAGCAAGGACACATTAAACTGACAAAGACTTTTATTGTTCCAAACAAATCATATCTCAAATAAATAGTAATCTTTTGAGCTTCATATTCATCAAAGAATCTTGAATAAAAATATATAATATAATATAATAAATCATGGTTTCCACAAAAAAAATTAAGAAACACAAAATTAAACACATAACAGACTTCTTTTTAATGATCAATATATATATATATATATATATATATCTTACCAACCCCAATCTTTTGTAAGGTAGTTTAGATCACTAAGTTTTGGAACAGAGCCTTTGTTAGATACCTTGGTGGAGCCATTCGCGTAGATGGGGATCATATTTTCAGCCCCCTGTTTGACTTTGAGTTCGATGTTTAACTGCCTTTCCAGTGCAGTGATTCTCTCCTTATGTGCCGACGACCTGCTCTCTGCTCCCGGAGACTGAGGAGCATCATCTAGTCGTAAGAAGTAAAAAAAAAAGTTAGCCAAGGGACTTAGGAACAGGACTTGCAATATGTAAAATCAGGGTTTTTGATACAAAAACATTAATTAATAATATTTCAGGCATCTATAATTTATGTCTTTAAACAAATGTATTTTTGTAGGACTGAATTATTTATAAGTATTGGAATTATGGATGTGCATCCACTCAGTAAATCAAAACATTAATTCAAATATATATTTATATTTGAATTTCTATTTTGTGATTTAAGAAAACATTTAATTAAAAACGTTCTTAATACTTTTTTAATTGTAAAACAAAAATTTTACAAATTGTTCTTAAAAAATTAAAAAGCCTATTTTTCTTTGATGACATCACTAAGTCATCTCTCATATACAGGAGTCTGTGTCCACTCACCACGTGAATCATCTGTCCCTTTGACGACGATATGAGCATCCAGCTCTTGTAGCTGAGTGTGGAGCGAGTCCAGACGTCGACTGGAGCTCCGCAACTGACTCTCCACCTGCTGCGCATTTCGTTTATCTGTAGTGGCTCTGCGGAGATTCTCTGCCCCCTCTTTAATCTTCAGCTCCTTCCGGATTTCCCTACGGATTCGCTCTCTCTGTTCATCCAACCGCTGCTGAACACTCGAGTCAGAGAAATCGGAGCTGTGGTCCAAGCCAAGCTGCTCTAGTACTGACAATCCACCGGGATCACTCTGCAAAACAGAAAGATGGAAGTTTAAAGATGAAGCAGTCTCAGTCTCAACTGCAGATCAAAGTCAAATTCAGCTTCAGATATCTTAGAGATCTTAGTAATTCACTAAATGCACTCCACTGAGATCACTTCAGGATCATCTGACATAGCCAGACTTTTGAATGTTGGCATGAAGTCTCATCCACATTATCTGGCCAAGAAGTGCCCACAGGAAAAGACCATCTGACCAACAAGTGCAATGCTCTTAATTTTGCATGCTGTTTGGTAAATCTGAAATCTATGAAATATGGAAAAATAAATAACAAAAATAACAGTGCAGCCATTTTTAACGTGTAGATTTTGTGTTCAAATATGGCTAATCTCTGTGAATTAATTATAAATTATTTCACCTACATCAGTTGGAAAACAAAATTGGGAATATAAAATTGTGCTCTAGGATATACCGTTTGCATACCACTAAATATCACAATTTATTGCAGTGTCAGTGTCAAACTGTCCCATTCCACGGATTAGCCTACTTCTTTCCTGGTCCCTTTAAACACAACTTTATTTCCTGGTGGACTGATATAAACCTGTGCACCTTGACTCCTGGAAATTGCGCAGAAGTCATTTCAATTTAGTAGAAGGAGCTTGTGATATTTGAAAAAGTTTTGCAATCTACACCAGGTTTATCCTCTGTAACATAACAAAATATTTTTGAGTAAATATCTTAAATATCTCTTAGAAATTGTGGAGAATTTTGCTAACGTTATTCTCAAAATACACAGCATCTATGGCCCAAAACACAAGTGCCCAGAAACAAACTAAAAAGTGCCTATCACCCTACTTGAAGTTACTTATATTAGATTTACACAGCTCTGAAACCAACTAACTACAAATTACTGGTGGATTCCAGACATTTGGGGTAATTTTCCCTATTGTTTTCCATCCTGCTGACTTCCACTTTGGGATACTACTCATTGCTTCCAAAGATACCCCTGCCTGCCAGAGATAAATTGGGCAAAAACGTTTGCAAGTCAAGACATCGGCTTCTACTGGTTTAACAAATGAAAACCCAGAGCATTTGAAATCAATCAGTTTTATTTTATTATGCTCCAGAAGCTTTTGCGGGGAAAAAATGTTTATGCTTAAATTTACCGAATTTGAGGGATAATATAAACTCTTAGACAAAAGAGCTTTTTGAAAGCAACTGCCATTGATTACAAATGAATGCAAACAGTCTGAAGAAGTTTACTTTAACGGGGAAAAAAATCAATGCCGGGATCAGAGGTATTAAAAAAGCAAATATATCAGATGCAGCAGAAACAGGATGGATCATTTACTAAGAGCATTTTACTTTATGCAAAAATGTAAAGATACACAACAACGGCTTGCCAAAACTTCAAAAGAACACTGAAGAATTAGTTACACACTAAAACCACTTTATAAAACCTCAAACGTTTTACAAGTTACGCGGGTTTGCACACTAGTCACCCACTAAACAATCGAGAACAGTCAGCCAACACATTTTTACACAATTATGTGATTTTTAACATTGTTTTACTATCTACCAGTCATAATTTATAAAACTGAATACAACGGTGACAATAATCTCCTACTGATTTGCTATAGCAACACTCTTCCTTACACAACCTATGAGAAACACATCCAACTGGCAAAAAAGCAGTTTTTCATCTGTTGATATTATTTTGACAACCAACAATCCTGTCAATCATAGAATGTCACCTGTATGTCCAGATATTCCCAGTGATCCCATTCACCAGACCAACACATTCTCCTCTCTCCGGCAATGAGACTAATATCCAGTAGCATAGAAACAGAGAGATGAAGGAAAAGAGAGCTAAAGAGATGAGGGAAGGGAAAGCTGTGGTCGAGGGTCGCCCTCCCTGTGCAGGATATCCGGTTAAACCTCTGCATGGTCTCTTCCTGTTTTCTGCGAGTCTTGGCTTTACTAGATGACACCAGTATGGGGAATAAGGCTATTGTTTCTATGTAATGTGTCTTTTTCCAAGTAATATTTAGCTTACAATGTGCAGGCATTGTTAATTTATTCGTCAGTTTAAAAGTTTATAAAAATATTCATTCAGCGTGACAGAAGACTTCTAAGAAACTGAGGCAGGAAGGACCTTCATAAACAATTCAGAGGAACATGGAGGAAAGCATTAGAACATGTGTGTGAGAGAGGGAAATAGCGATATACCAAGATAAACTAAGTAGTTGGGGGCGGGGGGTGGGCAGAATAACCAAACGTACATGACTGTTCTAAAGTTTGTGGTCAGTAAGATTTTTTAATGTTTCTGAAAGAAGTCTATTTGATAAAAAAAATACAGTAATACTGTGAATTTTATTACAATTTAAAATAACTTATATTTAAATATATTTTAGCGTAATTTATTCCTGAGCTGAATTTTCAGCATCAATACTCCAGTCTTCAGTGTCACATGATCCTTCAGAAATCAATTTAATATTCTGAATTGCTGCTCAAGTAACATTTCTCATTATTATCAGCAGAGGCGGACAAAGTACACAACTCTGTTACTTGAGTGAAAGTAAAGATACTGCTGGTCAAATATTACTCCATTACAAGTGAAAGTTGTAAAGACAGATTTTTACTTAAGTAAAAGTACAGAAACCTAAAGTGTACATCTTAGTACCTAAAAGGTACAAAAGTGTACCTTTTGAAAAGGTACCGCCCCAGTGACAGTTTTTGTACCTTTTTTTCTGAGAGCGTAGTGTATAGATCCCCATAAATATATAGTTCAGTCATGAAACTCTAGATGGTGATTATCAGTGAACTATTAAACAGTACACTCTCAGAACAAAAGGTACAAAAGTTGTCACTGGGGTGGTACCTTTTCAAAAGGTTCATATTAGTACCTAAAGTGTACATCTTAGTACCTAAAAGGTACAAAAGTGTACCTTTTGAAAAGGTACCGTCAATTTTCCGATTAATAGTTTTTTTAAATGACTTCGATTCGATATCGATTCTCAAAAGCCAAGAATCGATCTTTTCCAGTATTTATTTCAGCACACATTTAAAACAAATCTGATGATATACTTGTTTTTGAATCCAAGTTGTAACTGGTTATGTTAAAAGTAGCCTTTAGTCTGTAAAAGGTCCAGTATGGGTGGGCAATCTGAGGATTTTGTATCGTGATTGATCTCGAAGACATCCACAATCTACTTTACAAACAAATCATAGAGACTGTGACCTTTTATGTCCTATAAACGTGTCATATTTTGTTAGTATGTTAATATATCCTCATAGCTTTCAGTTGGCAGGAGTTATTAACATGTTAGTGCAAGAAAGAAATATGGATGAATGAGAAAGTAAAGAGTGGGATGTGCTGGACATTAAAAGGAGTTATTAAAAGTGCAATAAGCCAAAAAAGAGAATCGAATCCGGTTAGGCCTGTCACGGTAACAACTTTTTGTTGTGCTTTATATTGCCCCAGAAATAATTGCGATAAGCGATATTATTGTCATTTTAAAGATCATTTTATGCCACTGAATATATAATCATAATGTAACAGCATAATAATGCAAGAAGGCCAACACACTTCCAAATGACAACAAACTTTTACATTTTAAGAATATTTAAATCAAGGGAATTAAGTATCAAAATATTAGATACCTTAAAAAGCCTGAATAAATAGTAAATAAACATTTTCTAACAAAAAGTGCAAAGTAACAAGTAGAAAAAAAGAAAAATGCACAAAGAACTTGTATGGAGATTTTTCCATCTACAGATTTTTCCCGGACCTTCTTTTCTCTGTAAATTAAGGGTGCACACTATTGCTGAAAAACACAATCCCTACTTAGTCAGATGTCCGTATGCACAAAGGCACAGATCCCTAAACAAGACCATATCTGCAGATTAAACTTTTTTGTCGAAGCATTTTTAAAATTTGAACTAGCACCTCATGACTACACCACGTTAATGTACAAGAAGCTGCAAAAGACACAAGCACAAGTGGAATGTACAAAACATGGTGACATTGATTTTTAAGTAAATATAATGGGCGATATATTGCGTCGCCAAAAATGATTGAGGTCATGTACATATATTGCGCGTTAAGTCGATATATTGTTTATTGCGACAGGCCTAAATCCGGTAATGACCGACAGGCAGCTTTCTGTGCGTGCTCCAAGATGGAGAGGAACATAGGCACGTGAAGTATATTTTAGGCATAATAAACGGTCAGATGCACACAAAAATATCAAAATGTAATCACCTGCTTGGTGAGTGCTCACATAAACACAGTCAGTTTTGTCTTAAGTGAACGTAAACAGTTTGTAAACCGAAAACAGGACATGTCAGTATATTAGATCCATTGTGTCAGATCCTTAAAGTGACAGCAGCCTAATAAACCTGCTGCTGTCTGTATCATTTAATTTTAATCAAACAACAATGGAAAAAGAGAAAATCACTCACTGCTCATAACTGAATAACTTTTATAGCTTTAATACAATAATCAATGTAAATTTCATTCATATTGTGTTGCATTTTACATTTGATTGCTTAAATTGCTCCAGGATTTCTTACCTGAATACTACTGTTAAATAGACTTGCCTGCAAATTAAAGCACTGTTTATTTCATTTGTATCTTTGTTCTGTTGTATTTATTTGTTCTATTGCTTGTCATTTGTTTCTTTGTTCTAACCTTACTTGTCTTCAATCAGCTTAAGGACTTTTAACTTATATTAATTGGACTTAGTTTCTATTGTTCAGTAACTTGCAAAATAGTAAAAGTAATAGTGAAAACCAACATGAAAATGAAACGTGATAGGATGGTCGATGACAGACCAAGGCGAAGCCGGAGGGACGAGGGAGCCCGGCGGAGCTGGTGGACTGACGGGCCACGGTGGAGAGGAGGGGGCTAGGAGCCATGGTGGAGCCGCTGGGTCGAAGGGCCAAGGCGGAGTCCAGGACTCAGAGGCTGGAGGCGGAGACAAGGGATCCTCCAGCCATGACGCCGATGGAGACTGGCAGACCCGCGGCGAATCCAGCACACAGATGGTGGGCTGAGGGTGAGCAGAGGGGCTGACAGGTGACAGCAGTGGCGATGGAGAACCAGAGATGACAGGAGAAGGCAGGAGAGGGAGGGTGGGTGGGAAATCCAGACAGACATATAATTCCAGGCAGACAGACCGTTCAGGGCTGACAGAGAGTTCATATGAAGGCAGGAGAAGAGGGGGCATGTCTGCATATATGTCCTCATTACATTCCATAGAGCGCTGCTCACCCTCAGCCATGATGCAGTGGGTGGAGCCTCCCTCCACTCTCTCGCTGTTCATAGCGCTCTCCACCGTGGCGAGCTCTGTTGCCAGTTCTCACACCTGGTCTGACGTTGCGGGCTCTGGCTCCGCGGCGATCCTCAGCTCTGTCGCTGTCAATGGCGATGGCTCGTCAGTCGCGGCGGGTGATGGCTCGCCGTCAGCGGTGGGCTCAGGCGTTGGCTCCACGCAGCGGGGAGATGGTAAGCTGGGCTCTGGGTCCGGAGTGGGACTGATGTCATCCGCGATGTCCACAGTCAGAGGCGATCCACAGGACACCAGCACCCACTCCACAAAGGCGGCGAAATTCCCCCGAGGATCATCTCTGGACAACCGCACTCTGCACTCATCGTTCAGGCTGGTCTTGTCGAAAGTGCAGAGGCAGTAGTCTGGGTAGTGGGTAAGGTTGGCGATTTCCAAGAATAGTCTTGTATGATCCTCGAGGGAAAGGCTCCTCTGCTCCAGCAGGAGGAGGAAGACGGCAGGATCAATCACAATTAACAAAAAAAGCACGTAAACGAGGAAGATACAATAAACAGTCTTTAATACTTCAGGAGGAGGAAGATGGCAGGATCATTCATAATTAACAAAACAAAAACTGACAAAAATGAAAAAACTAAACGCGGGGGAACACGCCGCTTAACTTTTGTAAGGTCTGGTCTTCTGTCACAGTGTGGTGCATGAGGGAACACATGAAGATGAAGAAGATAATGATACACAGTCTTTAATAATCCACATGGGGTAATCCATAGAAAGAAGGCAGAAAACACATGTACACATCGACGAGACCGGACAACCAAACACTGAACAGAATGCAACTTATATGGGGAACTTTAATGAGGATAATAGACAAGACACACCTGAGCATAATGACACAATAAACAGGAGACAGAAACTAGGTCACACAGAGCACAAGGGAATGAAAACAGTCCTGGGGTGTGACAGATAGTGTGATTAAACTGCTATCTGATAAAAACAAATGAACACAGAGAGCCTGAGGCTGATGCGGATAATTGAAAAAACACCGTTTCAACACTGGCAGAGATTCAGCCTCAGATAAACTAGCTCACAATGACTAGACTGTTGCAGTAAAGTTTACCTTGCACAAAAAACACGAGTCATTTACAGTAACAGAAGCAATGAGTGTGTGAGAAAGATTTCTGACTCACTGGCATCAAAACAGCCCTTTACAACAGGACCAACTTACACTAGGCTTTAGTTTAGACAAGTAACAAAATGGTAATGTATGTAAATTAATCTGTCTTTATACTTACAGTCAGAGGTTTGGGGTTGGCAAGATTTATAACATTTATTGTTATCATTTGTGATGCTTAATAGTTTTGTGAAAGCTGAAACAATCAGGATTCTTTGATGAATAGACAGTTCAAAAGAACAGCATTTATTTGAAACAGAAATCTTTTGTAAAACCATCAGTGTCTTTACTGTCACTTTTGATCTATTAAATTCATCCTTACTGATTAAAAGTATTAATTTCTTCCGTATTTTCTTCACCTGCATTAAAAACGGGGGCTTGTCTGGAATCAGACGTAATCTTTGTCCAGGAAGCGTCAATCCTCAATGGTCTCAATCTTACCGCTATAAATAGTACTTTCTTTATGACCAGTGGGTGAAAGAATGTTGCTTACCATGTTGAAGACCTAAAACGTCAAATGTGATCATTTACAACAAAACAGAGATAGAGATATACAATAAATCATTACCATATTGTTTTTTTTCGTTGGCCGATTGTATATTTAATTGTGCATGGTCATTTTTATATTCTTTTTATATTCAGATTACCTATCTAACACTCAAAGTTAATATTTAGAAAATACTAATAATTTAGTGCTAATAATTTCTAACACTGTTAAATGTAATCTTTAGCAAATCTCAAAATGAATATGCTATGATTTTAAAATACACTTCTTATATGATTTAAAATACTGATTTTAGTCAATATTTTTTATTCAGAAAAAAAAATAGTATAGAATTGTAATATCTTCCATTTTTCAGGAAATGTATTATCAGTTTGTTTTTTATGCCAGAATCTGGTTCAAATGTGTCTAAATATGGACATAGTATATTTAAACAACCATGAGGTGACATATCATGAAAGTCTGACTTTTCCAGGTTTTAAGTGCTATAATCAGGTCCCCAGTGCATCTACCAAACAAGGAAACGTGAAAAAGATTAACCCAGTAACTTTGTTTTGGGAAGCCTTTTTCTGCAAGCATCTGAAAAAACGAGCGCGTCTGATTTCGCTCCCTTGGTGACGTGGCAAAGGGATCTCATTATAAAATTACTGCCCCTTAATCTGCACGTTTCCACCCACGGCGCCGTCATTTTGATTTTCACAAGCGACAATGGTATAATGCCATGGCGAAAGTTTGAGCAAAACATGCTAACTGTTCTGTCTTTGGCTGCACAGACGAGCACAGAACACTATTTAGAGTCCCAGCCTCAGAGGAGACAAGACAGCAGTGGATTTATTGATTTATTTACTGTATATTGCTGCTGCCACACAGATCTAAAATAAACATGCGATTTATTTCCCAGCTGTTTACCTTCACAGACATAACCGACTGTTAACGTAAACTTGTGTGTGAATGAGAACTTAGTTTAGTACTCACATGCTCTGACAGCCGCTTTCTGTCCGTGTGCTTCGGATGTGTGCACTCAGAAAACCGTATATCAGAAGTTTAAACTCATATGGTTTAAAACGCATGATTTCAGCGCAATAAACATGATGAACCAAAACAGATGTTTTTAGCAGGTCCAAGCTGTAAAGGCCAGCTCTATTCTGGAAAAGGGGGTGGGGAGCAACAGCTCATTTGCATTTAAAGAGACAGGCCCGAAAAACAGCGTGTTTCTGCTTCCACTCAAAATAGGCATTTTCAAAACGATATGATAAATGATCTGTAGAGTATTTTGAGCTGAAACTTTACAGAAACATTCTGGGGACACCAGAGACTTATATTACATATTGTAAAAAGGGGCATAATATGTCTCCTTTAACAAATATCAAAACTGCAATCAAACTTGGACCAAAAATAATTCCTAACACATTTCCAACATAAAAAGTCCTGGCACCCCGAGGCTGACAGTAGTAACAGGTGACAGCAATAATAACCCTAAAAACTCTTCTGTGGGACTCTTTCTGTGACACAACATCAGAGCTAATTGCTGTGGTTACAGTGATACGGTTTCAGCAACAATGGTTTAAGCCTACAACCACAACATCCTTTCGACCATTCCACTCGAATGCAAGTCATCACATCTCAACTGAGACAACATCTAAGGCCAGTTTGGTGGGGCAGCTCACATGCATCAACTCTCACAAAGGACTACAAAAGACCTACGAGAGAGTGAGACAGATATGAAAAGTGTCAGACAGAGGAAGAGCATAAACAATGACAGAAAAGCACAAGGGAGAGTCAGAAGAGGAAGAGGGGGATGAGAGGAAATGACGGGATGCAACTCGCAAAGATATCAAATATTAGGGGAGGGAGGGAGGGAGGACGCGGCCCACAAAGAAAACAAAAGTCGGTCCACATAAGAACAGTTGAACCCCTAGAAGAGAAAAAAAGAAAGAGGGGGAAATAGACAGGAACAAAAGAAAACTGGAAAGCCAAAGATGGTAATAAAAACATGTTTTTTTAAGGAAGTACAAATTGACAAGTAAAATATTGCGGCACTGCTTTTTTATCAATATATTCAAAAAGAAATGTAAATAATTTGTAAAAGTAACTTAATTTAATTTATAATATTTAAAATAAAGTAAAACTATTTATTATATAAATGGTATTAATATTTTACACTTTTCTGCATTAAATGATTTACAGTGGCATGTAAAAATGATATGTATTTATTATATTTATTTTTGAATACAAATAATATTTATTTATATAATATAATAATGTAATTTATAACACATTATAGTAACAGTACATTTCTTTAATAAAAAGAAAAATAAATTTGTTCTGTTTTTTAAGGAAGTGCAAACTGACGTGAAGTATTGCAGCACTGCATTTGTATTAATATTTTGAAACATAAAAATTTAATCATTTTTAAATGTAACTTTCATGTAAAAATTGTTATATATTTACATTTAATATTATTTATGTAACATCATATAATACATTTATAAAAGATTATGGTCACAATACATTTCTTTAAACAAACTAATTTGTTTATGCACAACAATTTGCATTCTTGCACAACACATTTCACACTACTGCAGCTATAGTACACTGAAATGTATTACTTACATTTCACTGCTGGTCATATATTCCCTATATAACCATGTATGTGACAAATAAAAAATCTTGAATCTTGAATATGAACTCAATGAAAATTATCTGCATTGTAGTGTCAATTCTAAAACTTTATTCTAGAGAACGCTTTACACAAACACCCCAAATTTTGGGGTGTCTTTAACAGGCCTACCTCTTGTGGTGTAGCTGAAGTCTCTGGATGGGTGATGTTGTTGTCGTTGTTGTGCTGCTCTGTGAGGGATGTATGTCTTCCCTCCTCGTTAGCCATGTCACACCCTCTATCTCCCTGCGTCTGCCCACCTGGCCGGGATAAAGACTGCTAATAAAATCTCCCTCTGGAGCGGCGGTCAGTACATCCCCCCGCCGAGACCCTCTTTATCAAACCCACTTCAAAACAGAGACAACTTCCCCCTCGACTAAAGAAAGGCGAAAAACGGAAGCGATGTGGGGGTGAGCTGCAGGAAGAAGAAAAAAGCAAAGCGACAGATTAAGACAGTGAGAGTAAGCGTGACTAAGCCCCACCCCTCAACTTCACTTCAACAGCAAGTCGATCTAAACTCTTTTCAGTCATGCGTGTTGCATAGTCCATAGTACAGAGTAATAGATGCGAGCAGTTGCACTGAGACACAACACAAAGATCACTATCATCATTGAAACGGAACAAGTATGTCATTGACAGTAACTGAGGACACAGGAAGATCCCAAATTAGTAGGCAACCACTCACCTATCATGATTAACAACGAGCCCATTAGACGGGTTGCTTCATACAAATACTTAGGTTTGCTTATTGATAATACATTTTCATGGGAGGTGCATGTGGATAATCTGTGTCGAAAGGTGCAACAAAAAATTTACTTTTTACGTAGGCTCAGACATTTTGGAGTTGCTCAGAGGGTCATGTTGCTGTTTTATCATGCCTGTATTGAATCCGTCTTTCTGTATGGTATAGAAGCCTGGTTCAGAAATTTGACAGTTACTCTTAGACCTCAGCTGAACCGTTTGGTGCGTACTGCAATGAAAGTGATTGGTCTAGGGGTTTACCCCAATCTTCAGTCTATATTTAACAAAATTATTTTTAAACCGGCAAGGAAAATGACTCTGGACCCTTCTCATGTGCTTTATCCCGAATTCGAAGTACTTCCATCTGGTTGATGTTTTCGTTCTCCAAGGTCTAGATACAACCACTAAAAAAAAATATTTTGTTCCTTTGGCTACAAGGCTGTTAAACTCGAGCTCAAAGGACACGACTGTGTTATTATGTTACTGATGTGGGAATCTCGTTATGCAGCTTCACCTGTACTGCCCAAAACAAATTTCCCTTAAAGGGACAAATAAAGTAAAGTAAAAGTAAAGAAAAAAAGACAAGGTTACAGTATAATGAAGGTTTTGTGTCAGTTGCTGCATATTTTCATGTGAACTAATCCTTTAATAATCATACGACACTTTACCCAGAATCTAATAAGTAAGAAGTGTTGGGAAATAAATTCTGAAAAGAGGAAAATAGAAAGACAAACACAAAATGAGAACCAGCATTTAAGGGTTATTGTTACATTCCCGTATTAAGTCTAGGAGAGAAAAAGGGCACGTAACAGAATGGTAAGTGGTGTTGTGTGAGAGCATCAAAAGTCATTTATTTTCAAATGCAGGAGGGTTCAAAGCTTCTAGAGGGGGCTCAGGCCAAAACAATAAACATAACCCATCTAACTAATAAAGAGAAAAACTAACTAAGCTACAAAAGAAAAGAAAACAAAAACAACCAAATACACTAACTCTCTTACTAACATAAACAGGAGAAAACAAGATCAAAAAGAAAATGACACCCCCTCTCTACTACTAACCCCTTTCCAAATTAACAAAATAAACTCATAATAAAGAATCAGAAACAAAAGATATTAACTTACAAACAAAGATAAGTCTTCTTGTAGTAGTAGAGATGTCAATTACAACATCAGGAGGGTTAACACAACTCTCTTGTAACAAAGTACAATCAGTAGACAATAAACACTTCTGGGGTAGATAGAGAAAATCTCACAAAGCAGCTTCCATGCACACACAATCACATGTTCAATGGGGAAAAATGCAGCTTAAATTCCCACTGCTCCATCTCATCCTCCAGGATTGACAATCAATTATTGAAGACAGGTGACCGCCATTACCTCCTTTCAGGGAGGTAGAGAGAGAGAGAGAGAGCAAGAGAAGAAAAACAAAACAAATACGTCCTAGGACGTAACAGTTATGAAAAGGTGCAAGAAGGAAGATAATGAACAAATGCAGGGTCACTTTTACATCATATGCAGTCTAGTAAAGTTCAAATAACACTGTTTAGGTCTTTTCACATAGCGCTCAACCCCAGGTTATTGTCGTTGTAAACGCCGCTTTTAAAGGAACACTCCACTATTTTTGAAAATAGGCTCAATTTCCAACTCCCCTAGAGTTAAAAAGTTCAGTTTTACCGTTTTCGAATCCATTCAGACGATCTCCGGGTCTGGCGGTAGCTTTTTTAGCTGTAGCTTAGCATAGATCATTGAGTCTGATTAGACCGTTAGCATCTCGCGCAAAAATGACCAAAGAGTTTCTATATTTTTCCTATTTAAAACTTGACTCTTCTGTAGTTACATCGTGTACTAAGACCGACAGAAAATGAAAGTTGTGATTTTCTAGGCCGATACGGCTAGGAACTATACTCTCTCATTCCGGTGTAATAATCAAGGAACTTTGCTGCCGTACCATGGGTGCAGCAGGTGCAATGATATTACGCAGCGCCTGAAAATAGGCTTATTTTAGTTACCTAGCTGGGGACTATTTTCAGGCGCTGCGTAATATCATTGCGCCTGCTGCACCCATGGTACAGAGTATAGTTCCTAGCCATATCGGCCTAGAAAATCGCAACTTTTCATTTTCTGTCGGTCTTAGTACACGATGTAACTACAGAAGAGTCAAGTTTTAAATAGGAAAAATAAAGAAATTCTTTGTCATTTTTGAGCGAGATGCTAACGGTCTAATCGGATTCAATTATCTATGCTAAGTTACAGCTAAAAGTGCTACCGCCAGACCCGGAGATCGGCTGAATGGATTAGAAAACGGTAAAACTCAACTGCTTAACTCTAGGGGAGTTGGAAAACGAGCCTATTTTCAAAAATAGTAGAGTGTTCCTTTAACATTTAACAGTGAGGCTAGCACTGCTTTTTACCCAGGGTTACAAAACCCTTGCTCGGGAGCATGGTTAGCACTAACTCCACATTGTGGTGTCAAACTTGTACAGTTTGAAATGATGCGATGTTAGAATGTTACGACTAGATAATTAGCAACCGACAACCAATTGTGTGCCTCATATTCACACACTTCATTCGCAGAAACACTATGTGTTGTATAAACAACTTTTTGAAGTTCACATGTGAAAGCATGTGAATTTGAGTAACAAAGAGACTGTTACATTCTTACCTTTATAGTCTAAAATGTCCATTCAGGAAAAACACGACAGTAGTCGGGCAATGTATGAGGCTGAGCAATGCTAGAGCCTTCATGTAAACAGGTCACATGCTGCATTCGTCCAATCAATGACACTGACACCACAAATATGTAAATATGAACATAAATCAAGGGTTTAGGAATGAACAGTGTGAAACGTCAGCATATGAATACCCACAATTAATTGTTAACCCCGGGTAATGTATGAGCAGTGTGAAACTTGAAGCAAGATAACCCAGGATTCCTTTTACCTGGTTTATAATGACCCAGTGTTAACTATTGTAAAACGTGTAAAAAGCCCTTTTGTGTGTCCTAAATTATAATACACACGATTGATGTTCATATTCATTGGATTGTTGCAACAACTGGTTGAGCACTGTGCCAGCGACTTCATGGTCATAGGTTCAACTCCCAGGGAACGTGTACTGATTAAATTAATCATAGCCTACATAGTATAGAATTGATGAATAAATCATAGCATACAGTATGCATAAATTGGGATATTAATTATTACCCACAACCCCCAAATTCAGTGTGCCTCGTTTAAAATCCCTAAACAAGCTTCCAAAACTAAACACACACTAAATCAATAATAGAAACATGCCTATCCTGTTTGCAAACTCTGTTATGCAAATACTTATACTTACTCCCCATTCAACATTTGCATATGCATTTGGCAGATGCTTTTATCCAAAGCAACTTAATGTGTATGTAAAATGTACATATTTATTAGTTAGTGTTTTCCCTAGGAACTGAACCCAAACCCATGATCTTGAGAGGTGCTTGAAGCCTTATAATCAACAAAGTTGTCACTGCCAGTATACACTGAAGCTACTTTTGGACTGTCAGGTGATGTTTTTTCACCACTTTTTCTCATAAGAAAGCACATAAGTGTCATGAATTAACATTTATGATAATGGAGTGACTGGCATAAAACCGTGCACCTCTGAACAGCACTTGAAGAAAGTTGCCAAGACAACCCTAATATGAGCTCTTGTGCTGTTCAGCCCAAACTATAACCGAGCAGTGCTCATTGTCAGGTCAGGCTTACTCAAACACACACAGAGGGAGCTCTATTCAGCTGCTGTGGCTCGTGAGAATGCCAGCAATTCTGAGCTCAGTCAAAGCCCTGAGGCCAAATGACTGTCCTTCCTTCTGTCTCGTTCTCTCTCTCTGCCCAGTCATGAGCTCTGGATTCATTTATCCCCATTTCATCTGTAGCTTGAACATTTGAACAATGTTTACTAATTAAAGATGACATGAACTTTAGAGAGGGAGAGAAATAAAGAATAAGTACACAAGAGAGACAGAGAAACCGTGAAAACTGAGATAAAAAGTGAGGGAAATTATATATATATATATTTGATTATATGACTTGCAATCATTTAGTGCTGAAATCACCCCTTTCTTTTCAATATACTGCAAGCTTGAATTTTGATGCCCCCCCCATCCAATCAACAACTGATGGATAGAACCAAGTCCCCATCCCATTTTTTCTATTATTATTATTTTTTCTATTTTCAATAATAGTTTTTACTCTAAAGTATGTCGCAATACAGAAAAAGATCTGCCACTCCATCCGTTTCATCACGACTTTAAGGAAATCCTGTATAATTCACTGACTCTGATCTGTTTTTTTAAGAGGCATTTAGATAAGACATATTCTCCTATTCAAAAACAGCTACACAGAGCGCAAAAATATAGACTATAATTTTTAAAAGTGTACTATTCTGGACTAAAAACTAACATACTAAAAAAATGTGAAAAATCTCTAGGTTGTCACGGTGTGTGGAGGCAGGCAGGACTACGAGGACGACAAGGATTCCAATAATGATATTTAATGTAGACACAACAAGGCAGATTCAGGTAGGAGAGACACACACACTCGGGGTAACATTCACAATAACCGACAAACTCGACTACAAGAGACAAGAACAGATATAGGGCAGATAACGAGGGGCAGACAGATGAGCACAATGAGGTGATTATTTTCGAGGAGCGGCCACTGGAGGGCGCTTTCTAGGAGCGGGCACTGGAGGACGCTCTGAGCTGGGTTCGGGGGCTGGAGCCCTTCCTGGGTGGAACTGGGGATCAGGAGCCCTTCCTGGGCTGGATGAAAAATCAGAAGCCCTTCCTGGGCTGAACTGGGGGTCAGGAGCCCTTCCTGGGCTGAACTGGGAATCGGGGGCCCTTCCTGGGCTGAACTGGGGATCGGGAGCCATTCCTGGGCTCGACAGGGGATCGGGAGCCATTCCTAGGCTCGACAGGGGATCGGGAGCCCTTCCTGGGCTAAACTGAGGATTCCGAGGTCTCTCCTCCTCGTTGTGATACTGAATTCCCTCCATATTCTGGCCCTTATGTCCCGCCATAGTCGGCTCACCCTCAGCCATGATACAGGGGGCGGAGCTCCTCTCCGCACTCACACCGTCCACGGCTTGCTCCCTCGTGGTGGGCACAGTCACCGGCTCTCACACTTGGTCTGACGTGTTGGGCTCAATATCTGAGGCGATCCTCTTCTCAGCCGCGGGGCTTCGCTCCGGCTCGTGGATCGCGGTGGGAAATGGCTCTCCGTCATCGGTGGGCTCAGGCTTGTGCTCCGTACCGCGGGGAGATGGTAGGCTGGGCTCAGGGTCCTGAGTGGGGCTGGTGTCGTTGTCAGCGATGACCACGGTCAGATGGGACTTGCAGGACACCAGCACCCACTCGATGAATGTGGCGAGGCTCTCTCGAGGACCATCCCCGGACAACTGCGCTCTTGTGGTGGCGTTAAGTCCAACCTGATAGAATGAACAGAGGCAGTTGTCCGGGTAGTGCGTGAGGTGAGCCAGGTCCTCAAGAGAGCGTTCCCCCTGCTCCAGCAGGAGGAATTGGAAGGCGGGGTAATCCATAACATAAAAAATAAAAACTGACAAAAACCAGAAAAACGCCGCTATACTTTACTTAAGGGTCGATTATTCTGTCACGGTGTGTGGAGGCAGGCAGGACTACGAGGACGACAAGGATTCCAATAATGATATTTAATGTAGACACAACAAGGCAGATTCAGGAAGGTGAGACACACACACACACACACACCCGGGGTAACATTCACAATAACCGACACACTGAAACACAATAGACAGGCACTGATATAGGATG